AGTTTTTATATTTTTAAAGCTGCACTGGGGTGGCATTTAATTTCGTTATACGCGAAGTACAATGACAATAAAGATTACAAATACAAATACAAGTCATCCAGATAAATTAATTCAGTCTGTGTACAGATCCTGCTTGTAAGCGATAGACCATTTTTTCACGCCCTACTGGAAACAAGCCTAAAGGTAGGTCATTAAAATAACCACATGTTTTTCTCCTCTCCAACCTTTCCTCTCCTTCCTCCTTTCCTCTTCCCCTTCCTGTACTTTAGCTGCCAGGTCCTTTGGGATGGAGGCTCATTCTGTGTAAATACATTGCACATGCTTTTTCGTTTTAAGTTTTGCAGCCTTTAGGTTAAATAACAATCCAATGAATTTGAGTGCAGGTAGCAATTCATCAGTGCCACTACCATTCCAAAAGTGCTACTGGGTAAGCAACATATAGAGAAGGAAAAGTTGTGTTATTGGTACCTAAAAGTGACTTCCTCATGAGATGGGCAGTGTCTAAATTCAAAATATAAATAAATAAATAAATAAACAAGCTCATGAATCAGTGAGTTTCAATACTCCTATTTAGTCTGCCTGCAACATTATGCAATAAAGAGTAAAGATAATATTCATATTTAGCCATATTTTACCGTAGCCCTGTTCTCCATAGGCAAGTGAAGGAGGAATGACGACTTTTCGTTTCTCTCCAGGACACATATTCATCATTGCAATATCTAAGCCTTTAATGACTTGGCCAACACCAAGGACAAACCATTTTGGATGACCATCATTTTGTGTGCGACTGCAAAGGAAAAAAAAACATTATACTTTAAGGAACTAGCTCAACATACAGGTAGACCCAGGTTAAGAACGCCCGGTTTAAGGATGACCCATAGTTAAGAACAGAGCCTATTGTAGCAAAATTCAAGTTAGATATACAATTATTCAAGTTAAATAATACACAATGGTTTGAGTTAATTATACAATACAACTTATACAGTATTATACAATTCGACATATACATATAAATTCGACTTAAGGACAGACCTTGGGAACAGAATTCATTCTTAAACTGGGGACTACCTGTATGAGCAGAACATCAGCACTGGTCCTTTTTGTATATGGGCCCAAAGAATGCAAGAGGCTTTCCTGTTTCACTTACATGTTCATAATTCAGCTAGCATTTACACTTAATATAATCTTGCCCTGGCCTATGATTACAGATATGGCCTTAATTATTAAATACCAGACACTGTTAATGGAATTCAGAGACCTTCAGTACTAACAATTTCACATTAAGCAAGTGAAGGGTTGGCCAGACTACAGGATGTCTTATGAAGGGTCTACCAGTAGCTTCACCAGCCTGCTGAAAGTGCATCACAAGCACAAGGCAGTTGTGAGGGAACTGTCTAGTATGTGTCCCATTCATGCTTCTCATAATCAAGGGCAGGCATCTGCAAGTGATGCTAGTTGAAATCCAAACTATTTCTGATCTAAGGATGTGAGCAATGTAGCACCAAATCACCAGATTAGGTCAAGAGAGTTGGCAGGAGGGACATTTGTGTCTGAATACAGAGAAGACTCCCCCTGAGCTGAATGAGAGCGGCATCCATCTCTCACGTATTACCCAAGGAGGATGTGTGGGGCTCAAGATTAATTTGATGATAAAGGCACTGCTGACTGAGCTGTTTGATTGGGGACCTGCTCCCACTTGATCTAACCATCGTCTACTTGCAACATCTCTACTCTACCATGTCCCCATCTCATTTTCAGTCCATGTGGCTGATTCTATTCCATTTTTAATCTTGTCTCTTATTGTGGATGTTTTACATATGTACTTATCAATGTTAATGCTTTATTGTGAATTACCATAATGTTTTATCTGGAATTCATTGGTACACGAGTTGAATGAATAAATGTTTTCCCTTTAAGCCAACAGCACCAAGCAGCAACTTCGAGATGTATCAAATCTGAAATGCTTTGCCATCCATGCTGTCTGTAGTCCCATCACATGACCCATAAGGAGCAGAATATGCCCAGTGCCTGTTAGTGACTTCAGGCTGATGCAACATGCCTCCTCTCCTCTGGCCCCCAGGAATTTCTTCTTCACTGCCATTCTTTTTTTATCCTCTTGAAGAAAGACCTGGAAGGTACTCAGTGTGAAAGAACCATGTTCTCCTGAGATTATCTGGTAAAGCAAGAGAATGTGGCTCTTTCAAAATCCCCATTCACTGCAAGCAGATGTTGAGCTTTGAAAGAGCCATGCTAGCCTGATTTACAAGGGCAGGTTTAGATCTCTTTTACAAGTCCGCTCCTTTGTTCAGTGGCCTTGCAGAGGTGTTGTGTTTTGAACAAGCACTGCATTTGGGCTCTTCTGAGAGCCCAAGCAGGAGTGCCTAGGAGTGCCTTGGAACCCATGCTTCCAAACTCACCACCTTCCCATGCTGAACACCTGCTCAGTGAGCTTGTGGAGTTGTGAAGTACACCAGCCCTCCTTTGCATTGCCACAGATGGTAAAGCAAGAGTGGCAGGACAAGCAGCCTATCAAAACTTGCCATCTCCCTGAGCAACATTCCCACTCCATCTCTGAGCTGGTGTCCTGATTGGTGGACCATTTCCTGATGGTTGGTGACAGCAAAGGTTTAATCAATAGTTTTGCTTAGCACATCTTGCACATATGAAATCAGGCCCTACCATATTGTCACAAGCCTACACAGAACCAACAGATGCAGGACAGAGATTGGCAATGGGTACAACAAATTTTATGTTGGTATAGTTTCACTGATGTAACACTGGATGGAGAACACTTCAACTAAGCACTGGCAAAAGGCCCCAGGAGAGGAACCACACCTGTATACATCTCAGGTAGCTCTTAAGGATGGTCTATTTTGTATATTTTGGCATATATAGCACATATCTCAATGGAGTCCTTGGTGCTCTCCAGGCTTGATTGTTTGCTTGCAGACATTTCATTATCCAACCAGGTAACATCATCAGTGATGTTTAGGGGAGACTGTTAGACAATATATAGAACAGATATGTATACAAGGCACACACATATATGGCTTTATCAAAGTATGCTGAGATCATCTGCATCTTCCATTGATCAAGAAAAGATCTGTCACCATTTGAGACTGCAGTACTTGGGCACAGAACCCTTCGAAAGCAGCTGAACTAAATATTATTACAACTGCCTTGGAGTACATCTGTACAGTTGGCTAGCCAAATTGTGATACTACCAGAAGATTAGCCAAAGTGGCGTTTTATCTAGAGGGGGCTGGCGGAGGTGGGAGTTCAAAAGAGAGGGCGTCGCCGCAAACTTACCTGCAATAAAACTTGGACTTATTACTAGCGAGATAACCGTCGTAATGGGCATTGAGCAGATCGCCCTTTTTGCTCTTGGGCGCGCAGTCTTCGGGGACGTGCAAGATTTCTATCTGGACTTCGTCTGCGGGGGGACCCTCTGCCTTCTGCCCGTAGGACGGGACGAGAAGGAGAGCAAACGCCTGCAGGAGAAAGCAGAGTCTCGCGCTGAGCGGCATCGCTGCAAAACTGGTCCTCGGCTCCCGGGGCTGCGTGGCACTAGCATTGTTTGACGTCACGGAAGCCGAGAGGGGCGTGGCCACGGCTACTCCTACTACGCAGACCTCCTTGGTGTTTTGCCCTGTTCCGGCGGATGCGTAAAAGGCGTAGGTGTTCCTTGCTCCGGTTGCTTTCCCCCCCGCCCCTTTTTCCTAGAGAAAGCGTGCGGTTCTTGGACTTTTTAAGGGCGTTGACTTTAAGTTTCTTGCGTTGCTTCCTCGTTTATTTAAAGCTATGGAGGACGGCTATTAGGGATAGATAAGATGGGCCGAGTTGTAGTCTCGTGGGCATGATTTCTTTTTTCCTCGGATGCAGTGAAAGGGAAGCACTGATCATATTTTGGGAGAGTTGCCTCTTAGCCTCTTCTCCCCCACAATATTTTCTTGAACATTTTCATTGATACCATGAGGTGAGGAGGCTGAAGGAGGCACGCCTTTTAAATCGATGCCTGTGGCCAGCGATGTTAACCAACCTAACTGGAAGTAACAAAGCTTGTAGTATAGGGGTATCCTCTGTACACGCTCCTCCAGGCAAACTGAGTTTGCACCGCAACGGATGCACCCAGCGAATTAGAGAACGAAAAAGCAGATGGGGTTACATTTTACATTCATACGTATACGTGGAAGGCTGCGTGCATGAGGAAGAGGGGTCGCAAGCACGCATCCCCGTTGCGGGGGGTGGTGGGGGTGGTACTACTTCTTCGGAGTTCCGCAATGATGCGAGCATGCGTGCAGGGTACATGTTTCTTTCCCCATGTACCAGTAACCTCTTGCATCCAGGAAGTAAATGAGACGTCAGGGTCGATGGCACCAAACGCACGGGCCCGAGAAAGGGGGAGGGAAAGGGGAAGGAGAACGAGAAGGAGAAGGAAAGCCAGCGACCGAGGAGGCAGCCGAGCCGCCGCTCATTGTTTTGCTTCCGCAGAGACGGCGAGGCGCGCGGGCAATGAGCGACTCTAAGCCCGCCTGGACAGCCGCATCTCCCGGAGCAGCCGGACCCAGAGGCGGCGGAGGCTGCGCTTTGAGCTAAGCCTCTCAGCTGTCGATGCGCATCGCGGACTCCCGCTGCTCTGCTGTCACCGCCACCGCGGGGGGTGCCTCGGAAGGCTCGCGGGCAGCGGGGCGCGCGGAGCGTCGGCCTTGCCGCTGGCGCTGCTCTTGGAGGAGGCGGCGGGCGAGCAGGATGGTGCGCCGGCCGCGGCTCTGAACGATGGAAGGCGTTCTGTACAAGTGGACCAATTATCTCACAGGTGCGGGGCGTTCGACCCGCGAGCGCGGGAGGGAGGGAGGGATGCAGCAGGTGGGCGCCTGTCGCGCGGGGGGCTGGGCTGGGGGGTTGTCCTGCCGCCTCCGCTTCCCATTCTCCCTTGAAGACGCCG